AATCGCCTTTTTTTTTTTTTTTTTTTTTTTCAACAAGAGTTCACGACAACCGCGACAAATGTGACAACATACCAGATGGAGAATATAGAGAAAGTCTAGGATTTAGTAATGAAATAAAGGAGGTTGAAGAATTTTTCAAAATTTACAGTCTCACCACGACCTACCGAAAGGGACATTGTGGACATTAAATGCCCATTGGAATTCTCGGGAAGGAATGAAAGGAGGAGAAGAGGGGAGAAAATAGAAAAGAAAAACGTGGGACGAGATAAGACGATTAGAACAAAGAATTCTGAAGCACGCAATGCGATAATTTGTGAGGTAGGCTACGACCCCGTCCTTCCCAGTGCTGTGCACTCCGTGCGCCACTGTCCCCTGTCTGCGCTACCGCCTGAGGAGCCTCCCCCCTTGCCCCTTGCCAAGAATAATTGTTCCCCTCTCCGCCCGTCTACAGGAAGGACAGAAACGTGCATGCCGGGTAATTTCTAGCGGAGACCAAAAGAGCGAAGGTGCAACAGGTGCAGCCAGGGGTTGTAAACCCGGCATGGGTTGCGTGCGAGCGGAAAGCTCCGACTTCCGGAACATTAAGAATGTAAATCAAGTGTGTCTGCGTAGGTGCATGCGCAGCAGAAACGAAGTCCGACCGCAAGAAAGACCTAAGGGAATCTCAGAGATAATATTAATCCAAATATAGAATGGGAGTATAAGAGACTGCTATCACGATGAACTTTAACGAGGCGTCGCCATTAACGTTGATAGTCCTGGCTATATAGTAATTGACTTGGGTGTATCGATATTTAACAGAAATGATCTCTATAGACGCTCGACGTTCTAACTTAAAGTGCAATAACTTATTATGCATGTGTATATATTGCTTGGATAGTCGTCTAGTGGCTAGAGTCGATTTTGTAACGTGAATACGAGAGAGAGAGAGAGAGAGAGAGAGAGAGAGAGAGAGAGAGAGAGAGAGAGAGAGAGAGAGAGAGAGAGAGAGAGAGAGAACTGTACACGGTTGGGCGATACGCAAATACGTGCCTGAACAACTTGAGCTCGATATCGCGTCGATACTGACTGTAAGGTAGAGATAGAAGAGAGAATTAAAAGGAAAAGAAATAAAAAAGGACAAGGATGCACATTATAGGCAGAAGTGCAGTCCTCGTGCCGTAATCGGCGCAAGTAAGGCTGTGCGGCCTGGTTGTTTGTATCTAGAGCGGAAACATAAGAAAAACGAAATGCAACCTGATGCGTACTCGAGACGCAGTCGTAATCGTAACCGTACGCAGTCTCCGTTCCGAGAGGGAGCGAAGTAAGTAAAGCAAACGTAGTCGGCGTATACAGGGTGATTAAAATTGACGAAGGATTCATACACAGGAAAGTGAACGGGATGCGTTTTAAACGGTCGAAATGGGTTAAAGGCTAATTCACATAATGACTGATCGCACAACAGGCACCCTGGGACTAACGGGACAGTCTGACGTGAGTCTTGAAATATTTCTTGCCTCGTCGTCTCACTCGTCCTCGACCGGTCGCGTCTCTTTATTATATAGTCTCGCCAAAAATTCTACCGCCCGTACCTGACAGTCTGGCGCGTCCGTTGCGCAGGCCTGTAAACTCTAATCCCACCTCGACGGCCTGGAACACGCCGTAATACACTTGTAAAACCTCAATGCCCGTGTTATCTGCCTCGTCCTCGGAACGAAGGAAAGTGATGACGATCGTCCGAAGACAATCCTCGTGGGGTTGTGGGAACACGGAAAAATACGTCGACGTAGAGAAGGCAACGAGTATACGAGGGAAGCCATTTTCCCCAGCAGCGCGCATGCGCGAGAGTCTCTGGCGTACCCGTCGTATTCCGAGACAATGGCGACAAATCTATTGCGCTTCACGAGGACGTTCCTTAGGCCTGTAATTAATCACACGTAACATACGTACGTGGTACTGGCGTTGACGACACTTCCGGTGGATCTGTTAAGCGTAAAAGTGAGTCTCGAGCGAAAACAGATATTACGAATATTTTATTAAGACTCGTTACGGGGGTTACGTAGCGTACCGGGCGCTTCTGCGTGTCTCTACACGTAACGACGTGCATTACTATATATCACATGGACGATCGAGAAGGCACGGAAAGAATTATGCGGTCGCGAACGCTACGGAAGTCGGTGCTGGATGGCAACGAGAGAACTCCTTATCTGCTCTGATAGACTAATTAATTAAGCGATGCCCAGGAGTGGGGAGTCACCTCACGCTACTGCAATTTTCACGTCTTGCAACAGCAGAGTACAGGGGAGGATCCGAAGGCGTACGAGGTAAGGAATCTATTCTGCTACGGACTATACGTAGCGATAGGTATCAACGTACTGTAGTAAAGTCCGCATTGCAATAGGAAGATCACGAGACACTTGTTGTATACAGGCCGGGCATGCACTATAGACATCTCCTAGCTACCAGCCAATGCGTTTCCGAGTCTCTACCAGTTTTCCCACAGTTCCGGTCTACACAATGCTGGAACGACTCTATACCCGACATCCTGTGCGATCACTACTTCCGGTGTGTAAACCCCTCTGTACCTCCGTACTTTTTTTAACCATTTTTTTTTTCATCACAGAAACGTACCAGTGAATATTCCTACAATACAATTTCACCCGGACACCTCGTATCACGTGACTGCTCGAATGAACGTTGGCACAAGGTGTCACCCGATTGCGCAACCTATATCAGGCGATACAGAAAAATCCAGCGTACGTGAGAATTCGGTGAAGTTCTGGAATATCATTAGGTACAAAGGGACCGAATTTACAAGGCGGCGTGTGACGTGCGTATGACTATGGCTTCGGACTGAATTTCTGTTAAGTAACGGTAAACGCGACGCAGACTCAGAATGGGTTGAGCAGCAGGTATTTGCAGTGTCAACCACGGTCGCATTCCAGGATGGTGTAACGACGGATGGGACAAGCCTTTACCTATCTGAGAAAAAAATCATCTGCCATCAGGACAGTTCCGAATGTTGACATCGAGAACGAAGATAAGCTAGGAATGAAATTGCAGTTGATATAGAAAAAAAAAAAGCGTACCGCCATCCGGTTATCCTACTCACGTACCTGTGTACCGAATGATCCTGACCTGTACGCGATATGGATGAACGGAGGAAAAAGGAAAAAAAATGTCAAACCGGAAACACGTAGATCCCCGTGAATCTTCCAGCGTTTATACACCGACACGCTCGAAAGCGAGTCGTGAAAACAAACGACGTTTACTCAAGATTTAACGAATGGAAAGTAGGTAGGACCACGGGCATAGGCGCCTGAGTCGCCTAAGTGGAACGCCAACGCGAATGATCGCGCGCGACAAGACGCCCGGCGTCGTTTCCTAAGAACGTGTGGATACGTCGTAAAACGTTCGTGGCCGTATTGGCGAATATTCGTGTGCCGTGTGTTTCTCGCACTGACCACATAAAAGCCACGTGGAATTCACTGCGAGGATACCCGGTCGGTGAGGATAGAGAGAGATAATTAAAAGAAGAAAAGTGTCAGAATAACAAGGACAGAATTAAATCAGCATAACAATACCATTTGACACAAACAAAATTATTTGGATATCCTATTTACACGGTGGAACAAAAGAGAAAAAAAAAGCGACAAAGTAAAGCTTCCGGGGGGGCTCTCTTTGGATTTTTACGATTTTCCATACTCCCAATGAGTGCGAGAGAGACGGTCTTATGGGCCGTTACGTGTGCGAGAGCGAGACGGAGACAGTAAATTCATTCAAATCCTATATTCAACGCCTAGTAATCCCCATCGTGAAGTCGTCACTTATCAAACTAATAGAAACTTCGCTAACGAGACGCCCGATCGCTGCGATACACATTGCGTCGTTATCCCGGCGTTACTCGACAAACACAAAGGATACCAGCAATAAGATCAATGAGTAAACGAATTATTTTCTTTTCCTTCCAAAGGATCGTCCCTCGGTACACGTGAACCTCTTTACGTGCAAACGGCAATGGAAATTTGCCCGAGCATCGCGCCTAACGACGGCAATTACACGATAAGTGGGTCAATCATTCGGGTGCATAGAGCAGCCCATAGGCGTACCTCGTACGAAGGGAAGAGCCCTATACGTCGCGAGCCCCTCGTCTTATACGTAATGAAGAAAAGATGACCGGACGTCGGGCGTCGCGGGATTAAATAAAAAAAATATTTCAAGGCGAGAGATTAATGCTCGGCCGGTTTCTTGGAATTGCATTACGCTCTTATGTGTATATATATATATATATATATATATATATATATATATATATAGTGCGTAAGTATGTAGCGTCTTTATTTTTCGTCCTTCTAGATTATTTGTTCTTCGTTACACATATGTAACTACATAAAGATATACATATATAGGTATACAGTATTTATTACATACGCGTAATAACGTGCGATAATTTTCCTCGAATCGCTTAATCGAGATTGACTCGAAGCGAAAGAAAAAGCCAAGCAGAGTCCGACGGACGATAACGACCACTGCGGTCATTTATGGCATGCGTATATATGTATTACAATGTAAATAGCATAGGGCAGATGATAATTGAAAGGCGGTAAATTTCAAATCTAACCAAGAGGCAGCGACAGGTGCTGGTGCTGCCCCCCTCGAGCCGCTCCCGAATGAATTTCAGATTCGTACTTTCGATTAGAATTATCTCACTGACATCGCAGCCTCCGACGAATAACACGAGCCAGACGTTACTACCGTGCGCGAGGTTATCCCGCACAATCGCCAGAGACAATAAACAAGCGACTCATTGACCCGATTTGCTCGAGTGAAAAGAACGAGACAAGAAGCGAACATTCCGAAGACACAGAATGAGATCGACGCGTAGCGTGGAAAGAAATCAAGAGTGGTGGCACGTGGGGGCGGAAGGGGGTGATTTGCCGAAAATTTTTAGCTACAAGATTCCTGACTTCTTGGGAGCTTCTTGTCAGTAGCTCATATGTATATGTATACATATAGAGTCATAATAAAAAACCGCGCGTGAAACGCCTAGAAAATGCAGAAACGTTGAGCAAATTGCGTGAGACCGAGTGGACTCTTAGAGAGAGAGAGAGAGAGAGACGGACTTATAGAGGATACGAGAATTGAGAGTGCGACGAGGCGACGAGACGTAAAAAGAGCGAGAGGGGAGGAGGACTAGCCAAGAGAACGTTAAGAGGAAAACAAAATGGAGAAAAAGCCGCGATCCGTTGCGCCCGTCGCGAAGAATACAGCTTTGTCACCGTGTGAATTTCTCTCGTGGCTCGTAGAGGCGCCTTTTGTTTCGAAGGAGGGACGAGGTGGGGGGGGCAAAGAAAAAATGGAAAGGAAAAGGCAAGCGACTACCGTACTACTGTGACCGTCTGTGCTGCATGTGTCTCTTTGTGTCGAGTGTGTCTGCTTCTTTTTTTGACAGATACGTGGAAACTGACACCCGATATGGGTATATGGGGGATATTCATGAAAAATGACAGAGTGACGCGAATGATTTCTCCGGACGATTCGCGTCGGTGGGAATGACGCATTATGGAGTCATTGGGCGATCGCCGATCGATGGGTAACGCTATAGGTATAGAAATGACCAGTGTTGGTACACCTGGCGTTTTATTGACATTCGAGCCGTGTCAAGTGAGACGAGCGAAATAGTAAACGTCAGACGGAAAGTTGGAGAGATCGCGGAGGTATTGAAATTTTTGGTTTTTTTTTTTTTTTTTTTTTAGGTAAATCTATAAAATTTCATATTTCACGTGGTTCACTTTTTTTATGGATACTCCTGACTGCTCATATCTACGTTGAGGTTCGTTCTAT